CATCGACTTCCTGCATATCTTAACAGGACGTCACTCCACCTAGTTAGGGGCTGACCTACACTTCCCTAACAGGTATGAGGTTTCCACGCGAGAGCTTTTCTTCTCAATCGATTGGCGGTTCATCGAGCCGTATAGTCTAGGAGGAATCGGCGCATGAGTACCGAAAGCTATTCCAATTTAGTTTTTTATGCGTTCCTCTTCAAGTTGTCTCACTGATGATATAAATGTATGATTCTACTAGAGATTTTTTTTTTCAATTGCAAAATTGGACATTTTTTATATTTTTTGATAAAATACGTATGAAAAAGATCCCATGACTTTTTACAGTAAATTTAATATTTTCGAAGTAATGAAATTAAAATTATTTGTAAAATCACAAATTTGAATACTTTGGACACATTAAAAATATATAAAGTAAAACAATAAGTATTAAAGATATTCTCTTATATTTCTCTATGAAATTGAATAAAGAACCTGCGACTCTTTATTAAAAAGTTAATATTCTCGGAGTTATAAATTTTAAAGGTTTGAAAAATCCCGAAAACTTTTATTCGTATTGTATTTTATTCTTTTTTTTAGAATAAGGGTGCCAAACGAGCACACATTCCACCTGATGGTAAGTGGTTGCCGTGGCCCATAGACATCTACATCTATCCTCGATTAAGAATAAAAATGCAGATGCGTTGTCACCCCTGAGGACTAATATGGAATGCATCGTTTCTAGTAAAACGGGTCTCCGGTTCTCTACACTCACTATACGAAACACAGCAGCCTTATGTTGCTATTTTACGCTAGTATTCTGTGAGAGCGTAGTCCTATCCCGGTCAAACTGACCCATTCATTCATGCCACAACTAATATAGCTGCAGCGTAGCTCTACTACGTAAAATTTGCCTTACTTATTCGTATTTCATCAAGGAGTATATAAAAATTGTCCCGTTTTAAAATAACAATTCCTTGTAATTGAATAACGAAATCGGTTTAATCAATATGGCACCGAGTTGTCCCATGGCAACATGCATTTATATCATCCGTAGGACAACTTAAAGAGAATATTTTCTCTCGTATAGAGTAGGCTAGGCATTTCACTTACTCACACATACCGAAACTTCCAGACACATAACAATTATGTGTAGACAGTATGCATATTATGTTTATTTTGTGCGGAAAAGTAACTGTAGCCTGAAGTGTCACAGACAAGACTTATGTTTTTGCTCTACTACGTTATATTCAAATTAAGTATAATTAGGCCATTATTAGGCTTCGCTTTTGCATTATTAGCCCAGTCAAATAAGCACAAAAAATAGAGTAAGGTTTAAGTAATTTTACGAAAATTCCCAGAGAGCTGAAAATTTATAAAGACCTTGGTGTTCCCATTACAAATAAAATGTGTGTATAATGGAAACACGAGCTATACAACTTTTAAAACTGCGGCTTGAAATCAGTGTAAGGACATTTTGTTCTAGAAAATTGCATGGCCAACGCGAAAAACCGAATTTTTGCAACTTTGACCTTGAATAACTTTTTTGCCATTTGAGATACACTTGCCACGTAGAACTTTTTACCATAGGTTACACGACCGCATCAAACCACTGTATGTTCGAGCCTCTTACCAAATATTACATGGTTTCTTAAATAGATTTAGTTGCATCATTTAAATTTTAGTAAAGTTTAAATTACCAATTTAAAATAAGCACAGACTAAAAGCCCGTATCTCAAGGGCGCGCAGAAGCAACATTTTGTAAATAATGGGATATCTGTATACATTGTATTAAAATTTTCAAATACAAATATAAACACGCAAAATCTTATAAATACTAGAATAAACGCGTTTAAAACATGGAGATAAATTGAGTGCAGAGTGATAACTGTTGAATTAATATCATCGCATAGGAAACACATTGTGAATGATAACCACAGAACAACATTAGCAGCTCTATTGATAACAATGTTTTACGATATACGTATTTATTTATTTGTCTAAAAGCACATCATGATCAATGATGTCCTTCTCCAAACTTCATCTTGGAAGCTGGAAGGAACCTTACCCTTAGTAGCGAATATTTAAAAAAATCTCAGAAAAGAGCCCCTCTCTTTTCTATTCCCAGCATATATATTGGCTATAATTTTGATTTTGTATTAAAATAGGCTGGACTTAATGCAATAACTGTAGCTATAGTAAATTTTGTTTAACGCTACCTAATCCTGCAATATCTAGTATTCTACATATACATAGAACATAGCGAGCAGAGAACATAGAACATAGCAGAACCTAAAGAGCAGAGTACAGAAGTTTAGATAGAATATTGTGAAAGCAGGGATAGGTAGCTAGCCCATTGTCAACACAATCTCAAACCCAATATACCATCAGTCGTCTTCGACAACAGCCAGGTATCACTGTTGACATATTCTTTTTGTAAAAAATCCAGGTAAACATGGAATCCATAAGTACCAAGCCAACATGGCTCAAATATATCCTCTAGACATATTATCTGCATTCTATTTAGAACTCATTTCTTAGTTGTTCCGGTTGTTTGGCGCTTTTGAACTCAACTGTTAAATCTGTACAAACAAAAATCTAGTAACTGAAATGATACAACATGACTTGCTGTAAAAACGGCCTCGAGGATCGAAATAGCTCTATTATAAGTACTTGCTGAAAACCGTTCTTGAAAATGACTGCGCCAGGCTCTACTGGTATCAGGCTTTCGTCACAGAAAGTAGTATTCTGGCGAATGAGCTGGATATTGAGGTGTTAAACCATGATGATGAACCATGACATTTACACAAAAACCTCGTCAAAGCTAAAAAAATACACATTTTTATTATCTTTTTTATAGAATAAGGGTGACAAACGAGCAGTCCAGCTGATGGTTAGTGGATGCTGTGGCATGGGCTATGGAGACATCGACATTTATCATCGAAATAAAAACGCAGATGCGTTGTCACTCCTGATGATTAAGATGGAATGCCTCGTTTCCAATAAAAAAGAGTCTCCGGATCTCTACACTCACCATACGAAACACAGCAGTATTTACGCTGGTATTCTATGAGAACGTGGTCCGCCCCCGGTCGAGCCGTCCCATTCGTGCTACAAAAACAATATAGCTGCAGCGTGGCTCTACCACGTATATATATATATATATATATATATATATATATATATATATACATATATATAATATACGTTTATAGGTATTTATGTAATATCCCTACAATAATAATGTCCTCTAGAACTAATTATGGTCGCCAGTTTCAGCGGTGGCTAGCCGTCTAACAGTACTGCATTGCAAGAGTAAGGGAAAAGAGTTCACACTGGCACTCTTTTCCCTTACTCTTGTAGTTCAATGGGACGGCGATCCGATACGACCGTAGAGACACTAGTGTAGGATTAAGGGTTTTTCGAGGCAAGGAGTGGAAACACCACCATCTTACTGTCTCCGAAAACTTCTTAACAGAAAAACTAACTAGCTTATTTTATTTAGGGTTAAGAGAACCCGGGCTGACGTGAACAGCAGTTCTGCTAACGAACACAGCACCAACGAGGTAACCGCATAGGATATGATACGTGAACTCAACGATTTTTAGGATTCACCCATATACTCTTTAAAAATAAAATGTATTAATAATATCACAGGAAGCGATACGATTCGTGTAATTATACGGGTTTTACATCTAATTTGGCCTTGGAAAAGCGTAAAAAATGTTATTCCTGTTAATTTATTGGTATTTTTATACATCCATCCATTACAACCTATAAAAGTCCACTTCTGAATATAGGTCACCCCCAAATTTACTTCATATATATTTTTTTATAGAAGAGGGGGCAAACGAGCATGCGGCTCACCTGATGTTAAGTGACTACCGCCGCCCATGATCAACCGCAACACCAGGGGAATTGCAGGTGCGTTGCCGGCCCTTTAGAAAGGAGTAAGCTCTTTTCATATATTTTGATTTTTTGCCAAAGTTGCTATCCTTGGCAGGCGGATCGGCAATGGCAGTTATTTTTACGTGGTAGGGCCACGCTGCAGCTATATTATAGTTGTAGCACGAATGGGTTGGCTCGACCGGGGAAGCACCCTCTCACAGAATACCAGCGTAAAATAGCAGCGTAATACTGCTGTGTATCGTATGATGAGTGAAAGTACGCGTCTGTCCACAACCTTTAGAAGGTTGCTATTTACTTATAAACTTCAGGGTTGGACAGATGCGCCAAAGCGGGCACTTGGCCGGGACAGTTGAGAGGATAGATATGTCTATGGGCCGCAGTAACTATTTACCATCAGGTGGACTGTGTGCTCGTTTGTCACCCTACCCTATAAGAATTTTTTTTCACATATTACAACGCAAAATAATGAAAAAGGAATAACCTAATTGTAATAAGAATTTTTTTTCACATATTACAACGCAAAATAATGAACCAAAATTTTTTCACATATTACAACGCAAAATAATGAAAAAGGAATAACCTAATGTAATAAGAATTTTTTTTCACATATTACAACGCAAAATAATAAAAAGGAAAACCTAATGTAATAAGAATTTTCACATATTACAACGCAAAATGAAAAAGGATAACCTATTAATAAGATTTTTTTTTCACATATTACAACGCAAAATAATGAAAAAGGAATAACCTAATTGTAATAAGAATTTTTTTTCACATATTACAACGCAAAATAATGAAAAAGGAATAACCTAATTGTAATAAGAAATTTTTTTTCACATATTACAACGCAAAATAATGAAAAAGGAATAACCTAATTGTAATAAGGGCTAATAATAATCTTACACTTGTCACGCAAATGGATCGGTATTATTGTACATACACAGTATTATCATTATTAAAAAGTTGCTATTATCAATTGCGATGTGGTCTTTCCAGTTGATTTCATATGACAGTTCGCACTTTGTACTTGTAAGGGATTCACGCTTGTTCCTGTTGTGATATTTTCACGTATGTGAATTGGTTTTTAATTTTTTCTGGGATTTTTTTTTACCATGTTTCAAGATAAACTGTCAGTGGCGAGATGCTGCTTTTGCGCGCCATTGAGGTATGGTCTTTTAATATGGGCCTACTTAAAACTGGTAAGTTGTTAAAAATTAAAAATATTCCGTGTTTTTCCTATGAATATAAATATATAAAAATTGAACCTTAATATAAAGTAAAAAATTACTTAAAAAATAAAATAATTTCCGCATAATATCTTCTGAAATCGGTACAAAGAAGATAATTATTTGTAAATATTTTGTTTTGAACTTTGAACGAATCCGAATGTTATACAAAAAATCACAAGTTCAAGGTAACACTATAATATCGTCTAAATAGTTATATTAAAATCTTCATCTTCAAATTTACCTTTAGAGATAGATATTTTCATGCAAAATATGCGATCACTCCTGAAGTATGGCTTAAAATAAGGGATAATTTATATCTTTTCAGCCGTTTCCGAAAAATTGGTAAACATATAAAAGAAAAAACCATGTAATACAAAAGTAGGACCTACTCGGTTTTTGAATTCTCAAACGATGAGTGGGATGAAAGGGAAGCGTGATGGAAAGAGATTTACTACCACGCCCCTTTTATAATAATACGAAACAGGCTCTTAGAAATTTCATTTACTTGTGGACATAATTAAACTTTTATTTATATATTATTTATAAATTATTATAAATTGTTTCACAGTGTAGTGTCAGAATATCCACTACCCCATATCGTCCCGTGGGATCACAAGGGCGACAGAAGGAACAAACAAGGAGTAGGGCAACACTTTTCTAATAACAACTAAGAAATAAAAAAGTAGCGGTTGCCAATTTGCCAATTGTGTCGACTAACGAATATCCGCCCCTATGGAGTAATCCATGGCAAAAGCCTATTTTCTATGGACATTTGATAGATGAAACGGTGATTTACATAGTATTAACAACAGTTTCAATGCTAAATAATATAATACAAATAATTTATTTTTATTTTGTTTTTAATTGTTTTTTTTTTTATATTCTTTAACTAACGAACATTGATACTTCCTTTCGCACCCTTTAACTCTATTAACGCTGCATACCGATGCAGTTGCCGGTCTAGATTATACATGTTATAAAAATAAGAGATGGTTATAAAGTTATCTTTTGCTATATTAATAGGTTGGTGATAATGTTTTTATACACGGTAAAGCCACGCTGCAGCTATATTAGTTGTAGTACGAATTTGTCGGCTCGACCCGAGAAGGACCACGCTTTTACAGTATACCAGCATGAAATAGCAACTCAATGTAGATATGTTTTATATGTGAGTGTAAACAACCGAAGGCCCTTTTTACTGGAGACGAGGCATTCTATCTTAATACTCGGGAGTGGACAAATGAAGATGACTATGGGTCACACCATCCTCTTACCATCAGTTGTTCAACTTTGTGCCCGATTGCCACCATTATTCTACAAAAAAGTAACAAAAATACCATCTTATGCTACATTAATACCGTATTTTTATGACAATCTTTTAATATATCTAATATGTAAAAATGTATGTCTATTTCTTCGTAATTTTTGCCATTCCGTTGATCACATTGCGGCAAAACTTTGTCATTATTGCTTGCGCTTGCGCAGTTTTAGGCATAGTACAATTGACACACTAGGTAGCGCACGTATTGTACCGATACATTATTTTAAAGTTATATATTATCACCATTATCATTCCTAATAAAACAATATAAATCTATCAAATTTAAAATAATACTTCTACAATTATTTCTTCTGCGGTAGGTACCCGTTGGATACTGGTACTAGTAACTTATAAATTGAATATTCTTTTTCCAGGTCACAAGCATATTAGTGTTTGGAGTTACCGTCATATGGATTTTCATGTGGATTTTGCTTGTAAATTTCGAAAAAGCTTTGCTGGTGTTACTAATTGCGACAATGCTCAGTCTTATCGTTGATATAGTCTTTAATTTTGTACTTATAATTGGATCTCATAAGGTAAGAAAAAATAATTTTGTGTTAATAAAAATAACTTTTAAAAGATTTTATCATGTTTATTATTACTTAGTTTTTTTATTCATTATTTTGAGTTATCAGTAAGTAGCTGCTATCCATCTCCTGTTTCAAATTCTCTCCGTCGCATCTTACGACACCAACGGAAAAATATGGTGTACTGCCACAACACGTAAAGTTTATTCTCATCACTCATCAAAAGGGAATAGAATAGTTTTGCGTAAATCTATTTTAGCAATTTTATTGGAGGCAAATGAAAAAAAAAATCTATTCAAATGTAACCTAAATATTTCTTGCCCAAAAATTAAGTGAGGAAACCTGCATGTCTGAGAAATCAAAAAACTATTTCGAAGACATGTGAAGTTCGACAACACTGGGCAGCGTAGTGGACATTTCCTTGCCCTAAAATTTTTTCAGAAATTTGAGGATACCTGTGCACGAAAGTAGGCCAGCAATAGGATGTACGTTACTTTTGCTCCAAAACAGCTTTACTTTGAATTCGTAAGAATATTTTAATATAAAGTAACAATTTTCAAATAATAAATTTAATAAATATAATAGCATTAGAATTGAAAGAATACAAAAACGACTGCTACGTCATCTTGCGTACCGTTCGAATAGCTATCAAACTAATGATTCCTACGAAAGACAGTTGGCGCAATTTAACATCACACCATTACAATCACGTAGAAGTATCTCAGACATGATATTCCTATACAAAACGCTCAATAATAGTGTTGATTGTCCAGCGATAGTTCAAGTATTTAACTTTAAAGGGCCATCAAGACTACCTAGGAAACCTTTTTCAATGTATCTCTTTATAGATCTAACTTGGGAAAGTATTCCCCTCTAGCCACACTGGCTCGCACTTATAACGAACTGTCCTCGAAAATTTCTGGCCTCGATATTACTTGCGATAGTTTATCCACCTTCAAATCAATTTCTTTAAAAATAATGAATCAATTAATTAAGAAGTATAATATTGAAAGTATAATATTGGAATTGTTTTTGTTTTCTATAATGTGGTTAATGTAATTTAATATGATAATGAAGTTATCTATAATATTGTTAAATAATTCTATTTCTTTTTAATAATTTCTTTATTCAATGATGTAGTTCAAGTTTTTTTTTCTTATAATCCCTTCATTTACTAAATAATCAATGCATGTTGTGATTACTTATAAAAAGAAATACAATTATAATATGCTTAATATGTTGTGAAAATGATCTTTGTATTACTGTTGTAATTTCTGTTGGTAATCCTAATAAATAAATACACAGAAGTAATTGTATATGGATTTTGATTGTGCTGTGTATTTAAATAAATTTACTTCAAGACGGCTCGGTAGCACAATGCCTAAAAGTTTGGTCGCAGAGTTGCGGGGTCTCGGGTTCGAATCCCATACGGAATAAATGTTTGTATTACCTACAAATTAATAGGGTCTGTATTGTTACGAGCTTGAGGTTCGTGACAATAAAAATTGCCGATAAAATTACCTAAATTAACACTTTAATTTTCTTTACACAAATTTAAACTTAAAACACTAATAATTAATCACACTGATTCACTTTATTCCGCTCCGAAGCTTCGCTTGTCTCGCCAAATTCAATACTTCCCCGATCGCACCTTGCAGCGCCTACAAATACACATTAGTACCGAATCATCCAGAACATTCAAATAAATACGCGCACAAATCGACAAAGCGCCGAAAGTTTGAGAATCAGCTTCCAGAAGCTTAGTTCTTCCTTTCGACAACAGATGGCGCTGTCGGTTGAAAGATTAGTGATGTCATTTTCTGGAAAGCTCTCCCCTCGTTCCGTTACCCGACACTAGACGGCGCTAGTTCCAGATGTCAAATTAGCCGCGCAACACTGCCCCCTCCTAAGACATGCTCGTCCCGAGCATTATCGGCCCCATAATAACGCGCCAGGCGATCCACATGGACGATCTTAGGAGTCCCTCTTGCACCCTTCTGTATCCGATAGGTTACATCGTTGATCCTGGTCACAATCCGGTACATGCCGTCCCATTTAGCTTGAAGCTTAGGAGATTTCCCTTTGATGCGGACCGGATTGTGCAACCACACCAGTAAACCTTCGTCGAACCCTTTGTTGTTCATTTTGCGGTCATACCGGGTTCTCATCTTTTCAGACAATTGCTGGCCCGATTGTCTGGCGTGCTCATAAATGTCATTCATTTTATTCCGCAAGTCATTTGCATAATCGGTTATACTGCGTGGGGCATCAGGTGGTATCCCGGTGATCAGGTCTGCAGGCAGCCGTAATTCTCTTCCAAAGTTTGCGAAAGCTGGTGTCACTGATGTACTTTCGTAAACAGCGCTTCGATAAGATAGTAAAAATGGTTGTATGTGCTTATCCCAATCTCGTTGCCGGTTGTCTACAACTTTTGCTAGGTACCTCTCCAATGTCTGATTAAATCGTTCTACCATTCCATCAGATTGCGGGTGATAAGAAGTCGTTCTTGTTTTATGAGTACCCATAACTCGGCAAGTTTCCTGGAATATATGAGACTCAAAATTCCTTCCTTGATCGCTGCGAATCTCTAAAGGTACTCCAAAACGACAGAAGACTTCATGAACTAGTTTATCTGCAACTGTTGAAACTTCTTGATTTGGAATGGCGAAGACTTCTGGCCACTTAAGTGAACTAATCCATCACAACCATGAAATACTTGTTACCGCTTTCACTCTACGGAAACGGCCCCGCCACGTCAATGGCTATTCTCTCCCATGGTGCACCAACATTGTACAACTTCAATGCACCTCTACTACGAGTCTGAGGTCCCTTTACAGCCGCACACCTTGTACATTTGCGACACCAGCCCTCGACATCGTTTCGACAGTAGACCCAGTAAACCGTTCTCGGATCTTCAGTAGAGTTCGTTTAACTCCCAGATGACCTCCTGAATAATCATTATGGTACAGCTGTAGAACATCCGGTACTTTAGCTTTAGGGACAACCATTTGCAAATGACAGCTGTCTCCCCGAACATTTTCCCATTTACGGCACAGAACTCCATCCGGAAGCAGCAAGCTGTCCCACTGGGCCAATGAAATAGCTTTGAGTGGTCGAACTCATCGCTGAGACGTCGCTCCACTTCGGCTTGGAAGCACTGGCCTTCATCCATTCCAGAATTGGCTTGATATCCAGATCTTCCTGCTGTGCACGTTGTAAGCTGTCCTTCCACTCGTTGCTGAGGTGGTCTGCCCTGAGCATCCACACGGATACCACTTCCTTACTCTCTTGCCTAGTACAATGTTTGCAATCTTCAGGACAAGGTCTTCTTGACAATGCATCTGCGTTGCCATGAGATTTCCCGCTGCGATGTTCGATCTCAAAGTCGTATTCCTGCAGTAGTTCAATCCACCTCGCAACTTGTCCTTCTGGATTTTTAAACTGCAATAGCCATTTTAGTGCAGCATGGTCAGTTCGTATGTGAAATTTTCGCCCCAGAAGATATTTGCTAAAATGCTGCAACGACTTTACCACAGCTAGCAATTCGCGTCTTGTGACACAATAGTTCCTTTCCAGTTTCGACAACGACTTGCTGAAGTACGCTATCACAATCCCTCGATCACCGTTCCGTTGAGACAACACACCGCCGAGCCCTGTATCGCTTGCGTTTGTGTCAACTATAAATTCTTTGCTTGCATCAGGGTATCCCAAAATAGGTGTTTTGCACAAACGGTCCTTGAGCTCCTGGAATGCGATATTGCAACTTTCATCCCAGCAGAAATGTCGCTTCTCCTCGGTTAGCTTATGCAGAGGTTTGGCTATATCTGCAAAGTTCTTCACAAATCGCCGGTAGTAGGAGCACAAACCCAAAAATTCTCTAACCTGCGTCTTGTCTTTTGGAACCGGCCAATCCTTGACAGCGGCGATTTTCTCTGGATCCGTGCGGATACCTTCTTCCGATACTACATACCCCAAAAAGTTAACTTGCCGTTTGAATAGTGAACATTTCTTCGGACTCAACTTGAGGTTGGCACTCTGAATCTTCATGAGCACGCGTTCCAGGTTTTGAAGGTGTTCCTCAAACGTACGGCCTACGATGATGATGTCATCCAAGTAGACCAGACAGGCATCGCCAATTAGCCCGGCAAGTACAAGTTCCATCAGCTGTGACAGTCTTCCAAAAGTGAGGTCACTCTCGTTTGTGCATCCTTGCTGGGGATCTCACTCGATAGATATTGGCATCGACGTAACCAATCCACTTCCTCACAAGTACCAACCAGCGTGCCTTTTTCTATAATCTGTTCCCGGTCACAAAGGTTCAGCACACGTACTCCTGAGATGCCAGTGGTTCTGACCAAGGTTCCGACCGAGCTACTTTCTATGAAAGGTCATTGTTTACGCTTTCCACAAGTACACAACGGTGAGCTTGCCCAGCGTTTCGAGGAAGACTAACCGGAACAATCGTTTCCGATCTCACACGATTCCGATCGTACACGTTCCCTGGTAACGCACCTTCCATAAAAAGTTCCTCCTGTCCACATTTTAAAACACCTTGCTTAACGTCGATCTCACAACAATTATTCCTCATGAAGTCCAGGCCTAGGATGCAGTCTTCCATTATATCAGCCACGATGACATTATGCAGGTAGATCACGTTGCCTAGCTTCAACTCCATCTCCTTCTCTCCACGGACGGGTATACGCTGACCGGTGGCTGTTACCAAATTAATGCGTTCTCGGTTGTATGCGGAGTCCCCACGGAACTGACTTATAAGTTGGGAAGTAACAACTGTACGAGAGGCTCCAGTGTCTATTGTCAGTTTACACGGCATTCCGTTGACCTCGCCCTTGATGATTAGACGGTTCCCATCATGGGTTTGTGAGATCGCGATCCTTGGGGCTCTTTTAACATCAGCCAGCAACCGCCCCGCAGTTCTGGCTTTTACTCGTTTCCCAGCTGCTGCTGGGCGGTGCTGTTGGCCGCACTACCCTCCTGAGATCGTTCAACTTCCCTTTCTAGGGTTCGGGTTTAGGGCAGCTGGATCGAAGATGGCCGTTTTCCCCACAGCCATAGCACCTATGGCTATATCCTTTGTTGCGGTCGCGAACTGTAGCTGCTGCAACCTCCTTGACGCGATGGGAACGATGATCCTGCCGCACGGCTTCCACCTCCAGTGCATGGGCCAAGGCGTCCTTAAGCGTCTCGTGGTGCCCGAGCCTCACAGCAGCTCTGACTTCCAGGTCGCGGATGCCGTCGAAGAATGTCTGCACCAGGTTCCCTTCAATGAGCGCAGGTACAGACCAGTATGCTTTTCGCACCAGCTTCTCCACCTCTAGAGCCCACTGCTGCAGGTTTTCGTTGATGCGCTGCACGCGATCTTTAAGCTGCGTACGAAAGACGTGTTCCAAGTGAGCTTCGCCATATCTCGCCTCCAATGCCTCAGGGAGTTGCTCATAAGTCACTTCCTCACCGAGAGCTTCCAGAACTGTTAACGCCTGGTCGCGCAGGCCTAGTGTGAGAGCAGTCATGGCCTGACTTTTATTCCAGCCGTTCGCCTTCATAACAGCCTCGAACTGGATTTTGTAGGCTGACCAGGAAGAGGTAGCGTCGAACGGTGGCACCTTGAACCCACGTAGCGAAGGTGTTGTAGCTACTACGGGAGCTGTAGCTCCATCTTCAAGTTTGAGTTCGTCCAGTGATTTCTTCATGTCAGCCATTACGTTGTCAACCCGATGGTTTACTTGGTCGATTCGGGTTTCAGTTTTCTCGATTCGGTTTTCAGCTTTCGCGATTTGGGTTTCAGCTTCCGACAGGCGGTTGTCATGCTGAGCAACCCTATCCTTCACCTACTTTGTCTCCGTCCCGAAGGTAGCGTAAAGGTCCTTCATGAGGAGCATCTTCTCTTCCAACCGACGGGCCTGTTCCTCTTGTCCGCCCCGCAGCTGCTCCTCCAAACGACGAACCTGGTCTTCCTGTCGGCGGGCCTGTTCCTCCTGTCCGCCCCGCAGCTGCTCTTCCAATCGGCGTGCCTGTTCCGCTTACTGGCGAGCCTGTTCCGCCTGCTGGCGAGCCTGTTCCTCCTGTCGGCGAGCCTATTCCTCCTGCTACTCTTTCAACCAACGGGCCTGTTCCTCCTGTCGGCGAGCCTGCTCCTCCTGTCGGCGAGCCTGCTCCTGCAGCATCACCATCAGAGCACCTAAGTCAGGTGCTGCAGATGTAGGGGCTACCGACGGGCCTGCAGCCGGTGGCTGGCCCTCCGACGTCTGCGGCGTTGCACCACCAAATCTTCTTTGGTCCATCTCCTGCTGGCGTTGACTTCGGGTACGGTCACCCTCCGTTTCCTCCTTAGGTAAAATCGGCATGATTTTATTCCACTTCTGACACCATTTGTTACGAGCTTGAGGTTCGTAACAATAAAAATTGCTGATAAAATTACCTAAACTAACACTTTAATTTTCTTTACACAAATTTAAACTTAAAGCACTAATAATTAATCACACTGATTCACTTTATTTCGCTCCGAAGCTTCGCTTGTCTCGCCAAATTCAATACTTCCTCGATCGCACCTTGCAGCGCCTATAAATACACATTAGTACCGAATCATCCAGAACATTCAAGTAAATACGCGCACCAATCAACAAAGCGCCGAAAGTTCGAGAGTCAGCTTCCAGAAGCTTAGTTCTTCCTTTCGACAACAGATGGCGTTATCGGTTGAAAGATTAGTGATGTCATTTTCTGGAAAGCTCTCCCCTCGCTCCGTTACCCGACACTAGGTGGTGCTATTGCCAGATGTCAACTTAGCCGCGCAACAGTATGTTTGTTACTGTGCACATTACGTTTAGAAACCACCTCCGCGATACAGAAGAAAATCCTTCTGTGGGATTAATATATAAAGAATTATATTTATTGTTCATATATTAATGTGTGTTTACATTCATATATGTATATATATTTATATTAACTTCGTAAATATTTAAAGATTTCTTATATTAACACGAACACTTTTATCGCTTTTAATTTTGAAATGATTTTTGATTCCCGACGTTTCTCTCTCGCTTTCTTCTGGCTTTCCAGCACCCATGGTCACGGGTCACTGTTCACTAAGGTCGAGATCGGACCATAAGTAAAAATAAAAAAGCTGAAGGTACTCCGGGTTAACATTAACATTGGGACGTCAGTCAGGAAAGCCGCGAAAAGTCGGGAATTAAAAATAATTTTAAAATTAAACGCGATAAAATCCGTAAAAGTAGTTTTCATCAATTCGCAAATATTTTTTTATAATTTGTGTTTATCAATAACTTATGTATACCCTTATCCTTTTACACTGGTAATTATATCGTCAGCAATGTGGTTGGCCTGGTAAGCGATAAGGCCGCCAATTACAGATTTGCTTAATTTGTGATTTATTTTCGCGTTTATGATATAAAATTTCTCATATTTCATTTATTAATTCAAGTCGTTTATTTAGTAATTATTTGTATTACTAAATAAAGTCAAGGCAAGGTTTTATTTAAAGTTGCTATGCCATATCTTCAATAAGCCTTACTGCGGGGACCGGGGAGACCTTGTGAGAAGAATCTGTAAGGAACAACCACAACACGTGGACTATTTTTCTCCCAAGTGTTAAAATTTAACCTCTTAAAATATATACATAACTAAAAAAGTCTATGGAAGTTCTTTATGTGCACGTAATCTTATATTTTAAATGGTCAACTAATTTATTATATTCTTTCTTCATAAGAATGCTTTTTAATAGTCAGTTGAAATATTTTAGAATAAGTTACTAGAGGGTAATATGGTCAACTTAAACTTTGCTGCCGTATAAAGCAAAAACCAAGAGGACACAGACAAAACCACAAGTCGTACACTAACTCATATAGTAATAAAATAATATCTATTACCTATTAATTTATCTAGCTTTTGCAATATTATGACTTCCTCTTATCCTTATCCTCGACTTATTAGGAATCCATTAAAAAAACTCACTACACTACACTAACTAAACTTGACTAAACTATTTACTATAATGTCAACTTTTTTTTTCACAGGATAGGGTGACAAACGAGCACACAGTCCACCTGATGGTAAGTGGTTGCTGTGGCCCATTGACATCTACATCTATCCTCAATTACGAATCAAAGTGCAGATGCGTTGTCACCCGTGAGGACTAAGATGGAATGCCTCGTTTCCAGTAAACAGGGTCTCCGGTTCTCTACACTCACCATACGAAACACAGCAGCATTAAGCTACTTTTACTATTTGACGCTAGTATTCTGTGAGAGCGTGGTCCTTCCCCGGTCGAAATGTCAAAATGACGTCGATAAAGCAGCGCCCTTTTGACTATGGAGTGTAGAAGTAAGGAGTACCAACTCCCAAAGTAGAACAGTTGAAAAGTGGCCATCTGTAAGCAGTAAATAACAGTTCAAAAACTATCAAAAACTCTCCACAACAGCGCTGGAGTAGCTACTGGGATGAAATGAACTTAGCAGTTGTCGACGGTATAAGTGTGCTGCCAAACTGCTCAGTAGTTCTAAGATTTAAAATAATTTTAATTAGTAAATATAACCTCGAAAAAGTCGTCTATCCCACTAATATTTTTCGGTGCGTTCTTTAAAATTTACCCCGTAGTTATAGTGGCGCCACCCTTATTTAATGGTTTTTATGGACACTTTTTAATACACAGTCTGTACTTCTTACTTCTACACTTCATACTTTTGACCCTTTATTATTTGATTGACTGATGAAGAGCTATCGAATTACACAGCCATTGTAAACAAGGCTGTAGTTTTTACGTAATAAGAAAGTCACCGTATTAATCGGACGATCATATTACCCTCACGCAATATATAAACAAGTGAAATTAAAATATATACGTATTAACTTTTTCATATTCGTAAATTTTCATTCGATTCTGAGCTATTTTCAAAATTTAAAGACTCTAACTCATCGGAAAGTAACTTTAAAATCGATTGTTAAATTCGATCCAAACAGACATACGAAAGTGTACCGAACAGAAATATGAAAATAAATACGAAAGTTAATAACAACATTGTTATAATAAAATGGTAGTAAAAAAGCTGTCACCTGTCGGCCGTAGGACTGCACATCAGAAGTTAAAAAATGTACGCTTGAAAAATAATTTACGCTTAGATACATCCATATATAGCAAATGACCTTTTTTACCGTCTGAAAAAAATAGGGTGTAACAAGTGCAACAAGTGCTTGGAGTAGAAGCTATGGCTATGGCACTGATATTTTGCAAAAAATAAAAACAAAAATTTTGAATTAAATAAATTAATAAATTAAAACCACCATACTTTACGAACGGCAATAAAACAATAAATTTTGTATAAATCTTTGACATTGTCACTTCGCAGGGTCACAGGCTCAAGGGCAAAGGGCAAAGTAATTGTTGAAAAAAAATTCAATCGTTTAATTCAAAATATTTGTTTTTACTTTTTGTAAAATATCAGTACCATAGGCTTCTACTCCGTTCACATGTTCACCCTATTTTTTTCAGACGGTAAAAAAAATAATGCAGTATAGTATACTATAGTATACCTGACCGTCACGCTCAGATACATATTATGAATGTATCTGAGCGTGACGGTCACGTGAGGTTAGTGCTATTTTCCCATCTCAAAAATGTCCAACGCGCCGAAAGAAGTTTTCACTGCAAAATACATCATGTGTTTTAATATTTTTTTCAGAAAAACATAACTATGTTGAGCCTATACTATCGCTATGGGATCGCACATGCGGTCGTTTTGGTAGTTTTTGGTGTGTTATGGATTTTATATGCAATTAGCAGAATGGAGCCACCGATAGATAGTAAAAATGTGCCCTATATTTTCGCAATTACATCAGCTTTTATTGTTTCTTTAAGTAAGTACACGAGAAATTTTATTCGATTAGGTTATAAATTAGGTTGTAATGATTCAATCAACCTAACAGTTTATATGATGGTATAGAACCGACAACTGCTGGGGAAGTAAAGTTCTCGAGTGGCAACCTTGAATCGGTTAGCGAGGTGTAGTGCGGCCACCCACTAGGTGTAGTGACGACCTAGAAGATATGCAGGAAGTCGATGGATGCAGATGGCTCATCATGCTTTGTGGCATTCCTCGTCGGAGGCCTTGCACAGCAGTGGGTTTTTAAAGGGCTGTTCTGATGATTATGATAAGTTCATGGTGATGTATACATCACTACCAGCATAACTATCTAGGGTAACAAGATTCAGCGTCTAAGGTTCAAAACGTACGGTACTGTTTGCCAGTTCCCCTGCCAAGAATCAGTCATATAACAGAAGAGACCTATGATCAATAGTAGATTATTACTGACAGATGAAGATGAAAGGGGAGGCCTTACACCGCCACTAATATGTTTATAAATCTTCAGGTGATAGACTCATGCTGCAGCTATATTATGGCTGCAGCATGTCTCTTCAGTCTTCACTGTCTTCACTGTCATGAATCAGTCTCTTCGACGAGACGATTACACCCTCACAGAATACCAGCGCAAAATAGCAGCTTAATGCTGCTGTGTTTCGTATGATGAATGTAGAGAACCGCGAACTCCTCATTTCCATGAGGCAGAATGCCTAATTTCCACTAAAAATTACTGAAAATGAGGCATTCCATCTCAGTTTTGAAGGTTGTCAACACTTCTACATTTTTGGTTATTTATCCCAATTAGGGTAGGGGAATTGAGAGTAACATAACCATAACTCACACGAAGAGTAAAATTTTTGCTGTCTTATGGCTCGACCGGGGAAGGACCACGCTTTTACAAAATATCGGCATATTACTATGTGTTTAGTATGGTGAGCGTTATGAAGCGCTTCGTCTTAGTCATCGGGGTAACAACCCATTTGCATTTTGGTTCTTAATCGAGGATTGATATAACCCGTTACTACTTCTATAAAAAGGCATTCCAAGAAAGTGCTAGCTGGAAAGGATAAGGTGGAAAAGTTGCCTATGCTCACAATAGGTGTGTGAACCGTCTATGTTGCCTCATTTACAGTACTTAATGTAAAATTCGGGTTCGGAAATTTCCGAAGGATAATCACCGTTTTTGGAAAATTTCGTCATACTTGAGAAAGTGTCGTAAGAAATATCAAGTAGGTACTAGTGATCCGCCCGTCTTTGCACGGGTGATTTATGAATCTCGATAACAACGCCACCTATCCGGTCCACTTGAGTTTTTAAACCATCCAGGAATCTACTCAAATACACACAAAAATTCATCAAAATCGGTGCGCCACTTTCGAGGTTTTGCGAGATTTTTGATTTTATATATTAATGAGCGAGAGTAGCTTTTAATAATGATTTGCTCGTGTTATTAATTAGGATTGAACAACCGAATCAATAAATTTCTATATTTAAACAACTTGTTTTAAATTTTAGAATATATTTTTATATATTTATTACAAAAAAGTTTTAGTTTACATGAAACATATTGAAGTAATATTTTAAACCACTGTGGTTTGTAAAATGCTACCGACAGTCAACAAAAAAAAAAAACTAATTTCATCACTAATCTAACAAAACACTAATTAGGAATCAAATAAGCATAATTTAATCACTTACTTATTTTAGGACTTTCTGTTTTTTTTTTAATCGTAAAAGATGTTTAAGTAATGCCAGAGTGAGCAATTTGACGTTAGATCAAAGGGTTAATAAGAATTTTTTTTCAGTTCTGCACATCTACTTGTTTATAGTACTACGGAGTGAAATTAATAAGCTTAAAGCAAGAGATCAGTTCAGATTCGTGAATCATGCAGCCGAGAGCTGCAACCAAACTGAAGATGAGTTCAACACTTTTAACAATAAAATCCAGGAGGATAATTAAGTTAATATAGTTAAAAAGTACCTATTAAAATGTATTGTTGAAGATAGAGAATACTATATAAATTTCCGGTGTCTGAAAAGCGTGTTTCGCCTAATGTTTTGAAGAAATCAAATGTTGGTTTCAACGAGGTACTCAAGCTACTTGACCAAGCAAACATCACGTAGGCAGCCAAATTCTTTAGAGCAAACCATTCATGTGTTTGTAGGACATCATTACTTATTCATGCTCGCTTAGAATGTAAAAAATGTAATTTAAAAACCTTTACCTAGTCATATCAATAAACACTTTCATACGTGGAATAATTTTGTAATTAAATATTTTGCCAAAATGATTACAAATTTATTACTTTATCCGTGTAATTGTTTCCCTTTGAAAGCAAATTAGAGTATTGTAGCCACACTACAGCTGTATTCTGGCTGCAAAATAAATAAGTCAGCTGTATTGAGAGAGGCTATTTATACGACCCCCACGCTAGCATAAAATTATAGCATAATACCGCTGTGCTCGGTGCCGACTAACGAGGACTGAAGACTATTTTACTTATAACAAGGCATTCGATTCTATTAGTCAGTTTTGCTAGCATATCTGCATTTTGATTTTCAATAGACTAAAATGAAGGGAACTGTGCGCTTGCTTAATTTTTTACTTTTATGTCAGCGAGTCTATAAAATACTAGTTGTATTGAGAGTAAGCGAGCGTCATATCGATGGTGGCGAGTTGGTATTAAGGGTATATCGAGAAAACCCACACTCGTTCACTGTTAGCCGTCGTGAGTGGGAGATTCCACCTTATTAATTTTACGAGTGAAGTCATGCTACGGATGCTAAGTTTGTTTCGTGGTTCTCTCCGTGGTAGTAATACTTCTAGTGTAGCCAAGGAAGACCGTGTTACTGAAAGGTTCACTGTTGGTTTTCATACTTTGGTTATAATACAATTACGTTCCTCATGTTACACTAATGTTTAACTGTGATGGGGACATATTATGGTATGGTCGAATTGTATTGCTTTATACTGAATATACAGTACAGTATGCTGTTCTATTGCTCATGAATAATAAATACGTAAGCAAAAGAGCAAGTTGAACATTATTTTTATTTGTTATTTTTTACATTAATCTTTCCTGATATATTTACAGGATGTATAAAAATCTAATGAAAATAGCACAAGTGAAATATGAGTAGAGCC